AACCTAACAGTTGATTGCATTTTGAAATTAATCCACTAAACATTCACCAATGTATAACAAGATTAACGAACTGTTATAAAAATCTACAGCAATAGTTATAAAAAAATCTAGGAATTATTTAAAGAAATATTGAGTGTTCTGATATTTTTATTCTATATACTTTCCAAAGAAATCACAAGAGTATTTATAACTTAATTAAATATATGTTTATTTTAATAGATATAACTATCTATCTAAATTTTCTGTTTGTTCAAGCATAAATGTCCATTCAAATAAAACTATTTATTCAAACATAACTGCCAATGTAAAAAACGATTTGTTTTGAACGCACATAATTATCCAAATATTTAATTAAATAACAATATTTATTAAAAGTTAATATTTAATGCACTTTGTATGATTGCAATACACTATCAATCAATCATAAGGTTATACCTCATTAACGAGTAAAACTAAAAATAAAAAAGTTTATATGGATGTTAATGTGGACGTTTTCTTAGAGAAGTACTCTCTATGTGGACATTTTATATAGACAGCTTCTCTTTTCAATATGTAAGAAAATTTTTAAATTTTCTCTTTAAAATAATACATAAGATTTTTTAAAATTTTAGGTTATTTATCAAAAAATATATTTCAAAGTTATTTAGTTATCCAAAACTTTCAAAACAAAAATGGAAGATAAATTCATATATATAATAATAATTTATCATATTATCTATAATCAATTCTCTATTATTTTTTACTACAAGTGTTGTTCCAATTTTAGCTTTATCTTTTTACAGGAAATCTTGATTTTAAATTTTTAAATGTTAGTTTCATATTATCAACATTTTTTTCAGCCAATTTAAATTTAAAATAATTAAATAGATAAAATTATCCTTTTAAAATAAAAAGTAAATTATAATATAAATTTGAAATTTTAAAAGTTAATCTTATTTAATTCAAATTTCATTAGTTATGTAGATATATCTCTTTTTAAAATTTTAAAATCTCAAAATTTGATATTTTTACCTTCATATATTTTTTTTATATTCATTTATTTTTTAAAATGGTTTTAAAATTAAAAAAGATAAATATGATTTATTATATTTCAAAATTCAAAATATATTTATCAATTTAAAAATTATTTATACACTTAATTTTCATACAATAAACCTATGTTACACCACTATTATTTTTCAATTTACAACTTTTCTTTGGAAAGTATACTGCTACTTTCATAATTTTATTCTTATAAAAAGCTAATATTTATTTTGATTCATTTTTCTTTTAACACTTATTTACTATTTTTTTTCTTTCATATTTTGTTCAGGAGCTTTGATCATTTATCATAAAGTGATAGTGTATGTTCATAAATGTTTATTAAAATGCTTTTGTTTTTTGGGAAATTTATATTAAAATATAACTTACTAGAATATCTTTTTTAAAAATTTGTATTTGTTTGGATTTTTGGTAATTTTTTTCCTGATTTTAACCTATTGTCAAGAAATTTTTTTTTACCTTTCACATTTTTTATATATTTCAGAAACAGTTTGTTTTATTATGAATTAGTTCTTGAGACCATACAATTTGGTTCGGATAAAATAAGTGCTATCATTTCTAGAGGAAAAATGCTTATCTCATTGCTTGCCTTGATCCATGAATAATTATTTTGGGTCAATTGATGAGATAACAATGATAGAAATATTATGTTTTTTGTTTCTATTTTAAGATAAATGGCTCAAAAGATATTCAATTTGATTGTATCATATATCATTATAATTGATTCAGAATTTATAGTTATATACTTTCAATATTTTAAAAATTACCATAAGCTAATTCATATATCAAACGGTTTTGTCTACCATTTTAGATTTGTTTCCCATTTTTATCATGTAAAAACATTTTTATACTCTACATATTTCCTCAACCATTTTAGATAATTCATAATTTATCATGTAAACGTAAATAGAATGTTTGAAATTACTTACGATTTAACAATTCTATTGCTCTGTAAACGTAATTTGCAGCGAGAATAGAAAACAATGGGGAAGAAACAAAAAAGAAAAAATGAGCTCGGAAAAATAAAGAATAAATTTGAATTAAAAGACAACCTAAATACAACTAACCCATCCCAGATATGCCAAGCATATTCTTGTTGCAGCACTATCTCATGTTGCAACAATGAGGCCTTGTCCGCCTTTGTAACTTGACCCACATGCAGATCATCTGTCTTGGGGACTGGCAGTGAGCTGTATAATAATCTTCTATGCATCCAAGTTGGCAGAACATCAAGCTGTGCAGATAAAACACCAGTCTTGAGCTGTTGAATTTCTCTACCCACATTCCCATACTCACATCTTCCATGTTGACCAACTGCGGATAGTGAAATTATTTAAATATTAAGTAAAACATGCCAATCACCATGATCTTCAGGGGAAGAGAGAGGAAATTGTCGAATTGCTCTTAAATTGTGCTTTTCAAACTATGACAAGATGAAGAGTGCAATGTCAGATGACAATATGTATCCTGGTCCATTTGCATAGGGCAGATACGGTTCCTCCGGCCACTTCCGAAGCAGCCGATGCTTCCCACAAATTCCATAAAATTAATTACCATGCAGCAACAACAGCAATTTTGAATTCACAGGAAATTATTTAGAAAATTCCAATGAATCAAATTTCAACAAATAAAAAACTGTCAAACAGTAAGAAAAAAAATCTCAAGAAACAGCTGAAATGTGCAACTGATATAGATTGGTGTTTCTACAAGCTAAATCATCCCATGATTCGTTTAACTACGCATTAACTGATGAACTGAAATAACCTAGAGCAAAGACCATCCATTATGTACTTGGCATCATCATCACAAATGTGTATACAAAGAAATGTGTGATGAACTGAAATAGATGCATTTGATGAACTGATGTTACCATTAACTGATGAACTGAAATAACTGCATCAACTCTCATAAATGTGTCATCATCACAATTCATTATGTACTTGGCAGCCACCACACTGGCCTGTAACAAACACCTTAAAACAATCTCAAGAAACACCTCAACTATTCATTTCTTCAAACTGGGAAAAAATTTCACACTCACCCCATAGTCACAGATGGTAACAGTTTTTAACACGACAAGGTCATAGTTGTCCATATAAGGCACAGTAACAATATGTCCAAAAAAATTCTGCTTCCTTTCCCGGATGCTATCCAAACATACGGAGAAGGTGGTCAAATACAGAACTTTAGGCTTGAAACTATTAAGGATAGTCTTAACGTACCACTGCCAAAAAGAAACAAGCAACCACATTTGAAGATTTAACAAGTTCATGCAGCATTCAAGACTTCCTTACAGCCATCCGCACAGCAAAATGATTGCCTGCTGAAAGCATACCAATAAGCAGATCCACAGGCTGCTCAGAAAGTGGTGGAGCCTTCCATCCATTGGTCATCTCAAGATGCTTTTGAGGAGTAAAATTAACTAGGATGTGATGTAGGCAAAGATGCCGCAAATACGGAGTGGACATCAATGTCCCCGTTCAAAGTTAGTCCACTGGCATCCTTAACATTATCAACTCATATCAAGAATGAGTCAAGATGCAACACGATGGATGGTATTAAGTTTACAGTATATAACTTACAGTTTGATAAGGAAAAGAAGTAATGTGCCTTCCATCAACATTAACATGATATCCCTCCAAAACCAGCAATAGGAGTCAGGACAAAAACTTTGCTCCGAAAGGGCCACGGTCACCATTTTTCTTCGGCCTATTAACTGTTTCAACCGCCATGTTGTCTTGTGCTCCTCAGAGTGATCATGATTATCATCCCGAATCCACTTCTTATACTTGACCTGACCATCAACTGCAGGTATAAAGAAGTAGACATTTTTCTGGCATGAGAATGTAGAATATTGCCATGAATTAAAGCTGTAGATTTTTGTTTTCTTTTGAATTTTTTCATTTGTTAGGCCTGAAGAGAGTTGAATTTGTTAAAATAACTGAAACGTAACGCAATCCATGGTTCCATGATGAATTTGTATAATTCATGGATCTTCTGTTTTTAAAATCCGACCAAAGGTTGAATAGGTGAAGGATTTGGTTTTCATTCAATTGGTTGATCCAATTAGAAAGAGACTGTAATATTAATAAATTCATAATTTTGATATTAAATAAGGATTGAATATAGTAAATATTTAATAAAAATACGCATTTGGTTATCGTATGTCTTTAATGTAGAATTAAGAGGTTAAAGACTAAATCTCACCACTTACCAAAAAATTATGAATAATAAAACAGTAAAATAATAAACCTTAAAACCAGTGTAAATATTTATTTTTTTCAGTTTAATCAGTTTTTATTCATTTTATTGAAAATTTGATTTTATAAATTAGACATATCATCGATTTTTATTCAACTAGTCCGATTCGATGTTTTAATCACCTGTTATTTTTTATAATTTTTTTTGTTACTTCCTAAAGCAAGTGGTACGTAGATGTAGCCATGTAGGTATTTCGGCTGGCTAAATGAAGGGTGAGGCAAAGAGAAGGCTAATGCTGTTTGCAACAATTATTCTCCATTTTATTGAGAAAATAACAGGTTTTGTTTCTTCTGCTCCCCATGTTTTGCTTGTTTGCATTTTGCTTCGCCTTCACTGATTTTCATAATTATTTGGCAACTGATCCGCTCTTATCTTTGATTCCACCTCTTGGAATTTGCGTATTTGAGTTTTATCATTATGCTTGGTCCTTTAGATTTGTCCCATTCATTTCTCCCATTAGTCAGAATCCGTTTATATTTTTCTAGTGGTAGTATAAAAATGTGTTGTATCTATGCAGCATTCCTTCGTCTGATTTGTACCCCGCTATTTGACAAATGGATATGCTACTTAAATCTCTCTTCCTTTTTTTTTTTTTTTGTTGAAATCTCACAGCATATAAGTTAATATTCTTAGATCATAAGTCATAAAATTTTCTCTTTTTTTTTTTATGACGTTCTCTTTCTTTTATATCATTTGTAATAACATTTCCCATTATGTTTAGGCATGGTTTGGAGTTCGGCTGAAACCCAAATTCCGTTGCCATTTCTGAAGGACCCACTGATTAATATCGAAGCCTCGCCTTTCCATGGAGGAATAGATCAACTCAACGGCCAACACTATCACACATCACCACCTACGGGGCATGTTAGAGGATAAATAGCCCTAGCTCATCACAATCACACATATGCGAGGTGTCCTAATCCTGTGAACCCACCACCATAGTCCACAAGCCCCTGACCCCCAACCCTCAAAAACCACAACTCCCATTACGTGCAGCCCAGGAACACCCCCTTCTCTCTTTCCTTGCCTTGTCCCAACAACACCACTAATTAGATAACATGGCTCACAGCACCCTAGCAGCACCAGAACCTAATGCATCATCCAATTCCCTAGATCCCATCCTAAAAAAGTTGCAGAATCCTATAACCACCACCACCAAAACCAGTCATCCAATAACCCCAGACTCAGATCCATTAATACCTTCCACGAAGCCCTTTTTCATGACCGATTACTTCTCCAAATTGAACCTTAATTACAAAACCCCTACACCCCAAAAGCCTATCAGCAACCAACATAACCAGCCTCCACCTAGTGGAGACATTCATTTACAAGCCAAGGCCATGACAGTGTCAGCTGATGCTGATTCCTCTAGGTTTTCACTTATCAAAGCAAACTACCTGCCTCATAAAACGGCTAAAGAATCATTAAACGAGAACGTGAGGAAAACATCAAAGGATTTGGATAAAAAGAAAGAACAACATCATCAAATATCAGTGCTAATTTCGACGACGAAGGAGAAACAGGTGAAGAATCTGCATGAAGGGCATCATGATATGAAGAAGGCTTCAGCTTCATTAGGTAGAAAGACATCCTTTTGTGGTTCACTAGGAGAGCTGGCTGATACTCTCGCAAATTGTGGCGTCAAAATTGTTTCAGTTGATATGCCACCGTTTATGCAGATCCATGCGGTTGATTGTGCAAGAAAGACTCATGATAGCCTTGAAAATTTCACTTGTAGAACCCTTGCCCTCACTCTCAAGAAGGTACGTAATACTGATAATTAGTGAAAATAAGTACATCCAAATTCAAGTACGAAAAAATAAACGATTTTTCTCCTTGCTAATATTGTTTTTTATATTAATTTTTGTTGATCCTATGAACTATGATTTGGGTATTTGAGTTTGTGATTGACATAATTGATGGACTTTTGGGTGTGCAGGAGTTTGATGGTGTCTATGGACCGGCATGGCATTGCATTGTGGGGAAGAGTTTTGGGTCTTTTGTAACACATTCAGTTGGTGAGTTTCTATATTTCTCAATGGATCAAAAGTTGTATGTTCTCTTGTTCAAAACAACTGTACAAAGAGCTGATTGAAGTGGCTGGCGTGACAGAGAACAAATTGGAAGTTAAAGCATATCTAGTATAGAAAACCATTTTGAAGCTTAAAGCAGTGTTGTCCTATTTGTAGCTTTTACATTGCTTTTGAAAAAAAGAAAAGAATTAGAGGTTATTTTTGTTTGATTTAAATTGTAGAAACGACCCTTTCTAAGTGGTCTAACCTGTAAGACATAGTACCTTGTTTTGGCTCAGAAATACAGAATCCATTAGCAGCTCACATTCCAATGTGCCATCTTCACTTTGGTTCCTAAGTTGTACTAATTCTTTCGGATTCTAAAACTTCCTATTGTTTTCTGGTTGAATTTAAGATATTGCCAAAAACTCTTAGCAGTTGCAATTTAAAATTTAAAATAAGATATGATGATTGAATATGAAAATAATAAAAAAAATATAAATTAAAATTTTTAAAAAATTATATACAAGTTTAATAAAAATAAAAATATATATTTTATTTTTTTATATTAAATAACATATAATTTTTACATAAAATATGATAGTAATATATGAATGATTAATATTTTATTTGATATAAATACACTAATTGTTAAATTTAATCAATTTATCATATTGTTAATTTGATCTTACTTTTTGGTATTAAACAACCCAAAGCTAGGAATACAGGAAATGAAATTGCTTAAAACTTGATTAATTACATTGCTAGAAACAGGAAATAAAATCAATCAAATCATGCTAGTTTGATTTCAGCACCCTAGCAGTGATAGAAACGTGGCATACTATGATTGGTACCGGCACTAGTAGGAGTCTCTCAAACTACAGAAGACCCGTGTTTCTCCTGTTAGACTCTCAGGTTCATTGTTTCACATTTTACTTCCGAGGCCTGAGGCCTGACTCTGAGCATATGGCTATGTCCTGCAATTCAGCATTTATTTTTTGGAGAAAGGTTGTCCCACCAGTGGGCCATAGGCTGATGGAGTCAATTCTATGCATGTTCTTATTTTGACTAGCAAGCTTAGAAGAAACCTGCAAAACATGCAAGGATGATGTCCCTTCCACTTTATTTTGATGCAAAGCTTGGCAACATAGTCGATGGTCTTCCAAAGAACTGTAGCATGCCAGGTATTTTTTTTAGAATATTTACTTATAATATATATATATAATTATTGACGAATTTATAATTTTATCAATGTACTTAGAGAAAATTTTGAAAATATTCAGAACAAAAACTTCATTCAATTTTTATTTTTATTTTTTCAAACTTTAAGATGTCCATGAATATCTTACTGAAAAAGTTGGATCCGTCTCTTATCTGTAATATGTATCTTACCAGTTCCTATTTCATAATGGGGTTAAGATTCGGTTTAGCTCCTAGCGCTTTATTCTGTTGTTTCACACCTCAAAGCCAATTTCAGCAATTTGTAGCATGAGTGGATTGATTTTATTTGATCTTTGCAAAAGGAGGATGTTTTAAATACGACCTATTAGTAAATTTATTAGAGGATCGTACATTATTGAATGTGTGTTGAAGGACTGTGGTCATCAAGCACTTTTGACAGGTTCAGGGACCTGAGATAATTTATTCAGCCTAATGCTCCTCTACTCAATCAGGAAATATGGCAATCAGCCCTGTTGTTATGGTTTCTCAAGGGCGCACATCCCAGACCCAAAGCCTGAATTCTCTCCACCTCCGGCAAGAAACAACCATGTTCTTACAAAGAATTGGGCCAACTGGAACTTCTAATTTTGTTTGTAATTCTTGGATCTAACTTCAATTCACATACCTTTTACCCCAAAACCCATTATTCTCCACTAAAAGCCTAAGGGCTTATAAAGGGCATCCCATATTTCTCCCCACCTTCAATTAGAAAGGAACTGCAGTGTCCTGCACAGAAAAAAAGTGGCATTTTAGCGTAATGGAATAGCAACCGGAAGTATAATGTCATTCAGTTTCTAATTTTAAGGGACATTGTTCAAAAAAACCCATAGAATTGGGTTGATTCCTCTGAGGAGCTTATTATTCAAATATTACACACAGTCAACAAACAAAAATTTGAAATCAAAATTAATTCAATTGATTCATATTATTTTTTAAAAATTAATATCAAATAAATTTAATATTCAAATTTTAATATTTGTAACTCTTTCTCTTGTCTTTAGATTGAAAGCATGAAGAAGATAAAAGTTTAGCCTTTGTTTTCCGGCGATAAACTTTACCTCTCTTTTAACCCCTAAATAGTTACAAATATGTTTATGTTTGCCTTTGTGTGGAAAGCATGTCAGGTTTAAAGGTCAATTTCCTGTTGTAAGTTTAGGGGTCAATTCCCTATTCTCAATTTGAACTCTTAAAATTTAGGAATTTAGAGGAAAAGGGATAAGGTGGTGTAAAATGAATTAGAAATTTCACAGACAAATTATTGTTAAAAGTAATTCTTCGAAAACGTGGGAACTTTCTACAGAGATTGGGTAGGCCAAAGTCCTTTTTATTGGTTTGAATGTGAGACATATTACTTGGCATGACACCTACGCTTATTTCTAAGGACCTTTGTCCTTCCAGACATGTACTTCTTACTTTCGACAAGTACTGTGCTGTACCCTTTTCTTATCAGCATTGACAGTTTAATTAGTGCATACCAATAGGTCTGTCCAAACTTAAGGTCTAAGTAATGAAAAATTGATTGATACAAATTAATTTGATTTTAATATAATGATTATATGGATAATTATATTAAATAAGCTTCCAATAAATTATAGATTGAGAAATTAAGAAATAGAGGTGAATGAAAGATGCTGTTTATGTCCACATGAAAGGAATCTAGGGATCATCTAGTTTTTTGTTGTGAATATGTAAAAATAATATGGAGAAAGGTATTACAATTATGTAAGATTGACAGAATAATCACTTCATTGAAGAATTGAAATGGATAGTGACAATGATAAAAAGTAAGGCACTAACATAAATAGTATTGTGCATTGTTTGGAATGTTCATGTATACTATATATAAAAAAAAAATGAATTATAGATTACTCAAAAATAAAGAAGAAACAGAAAAACAAGTGTATGAACTGATTAAGAAAATTGTTAGGACTTGATTACATGAATTACATTTGATTGTTGTTGATCCAATCAATAAAATTTTGTGTGATGCATGGAATATAAATAAAGTTATACTATATAATAGTTAGAATATGATTTAATTATATATATATAATGTATGTATTGTAGTAATTTTATTACTTCTTTTGGATAAATAAAATACAACTTATCCAAAAAAAAAAAAAATTAAGGTAAATTAGTTAAGCACATTGAGGTGTTTTATGGGTTAACAAGGCGGAATCTGAGCATGACTCAGAATGGAGGGTACATTTAACCTTCCAAAGAGAATAAAAAAATTTAAAAGGGCACAAAAGTTAAGATTTTGGGATGCATTCTAACACTCAAATAAATCTTTAAAGGAGGAAGAAAATAAGATTAAAGGGAAAATTAGCTTGGAATGCTTGGAATGAGATGATCTTACCTTCCAGCCCTTTATCTAGAGGCTTTTAAACGTGAGTTGCATGGCATGGACCAGGTAAAATGAGACAAAATTTACATGAATTTCTTTTAAGTAAAATTTATAAAATTTTTTAAAATAATTTTAAAATTTTTTTAATAAAATTAAATTGATAAAATTTAATGTAAAAATTAATCATATATAAAAAAATTATTAAAAATATTATTTATAATTTAAATTTGATCGATACTTATTTAATAATAAAAATTTTATCAATATTTTTATTAAAAATATCTATTTAAAAATATATATCAAAATTTATTTAAATTTTTAAAAAAATTTCATATTTAATTTATATAACAAAATTTTTTAATTTATCAATTTTAATTTTCAATTTTAATTTTAATTTAATTATTTTAATAAAAAATTTCATAAATTTTATTTAAAAAGTTTTATCTAAATCTTTTCTAGAAATGAATGCGTATCTAACTAAGACAAGTGATGTACTAAATTAAGACAAGTTTCGTACCTGTGACACCTTTAACAGAACAGGGCTTGCGTGGATGACATTCTCAAAGCCTACCTAAACTCTTCTCTCTGTGTAGTAGGCCTTCTGAACTCAGCTTTATTCCTGGGTCTTTATTCGGTCTAACAAAGCATATTAATTTACAAGCTTTTGTCAAGAATTTGCTAGTAATTTTACTTTTATTGATTAGGCAAAAGGATTAAAAAAAAACTCTTAAACTAAAATTAAATAATTATTCAAGATTTTATTATTTTTTCAATTAATAAATTTTTAAATATTCATTTTCATCAATTAAGTTTTTGTTAAAAAGTTTTTTAATTATTTTTATCTAATCAAGGATTTAATAGAGTAAAAATAAATATTTTAAAATTTAATTAAGTAAAAATAAATATTTTAGGATTCAATTTATTTGAAATAAAAAATTCATAATTTGATTGATTATAATAAAATATCAAAAGCTTAAATAATCATTAAATTTTTATTTGAGAGTCTTTTTTATTTTTTACCTATTGATTATTAGTTGGAAAATATGATGAAGAAAAAGAAAGGTAGAGGTACCTTCAAAGGTATAAGCTTTCAAGATCCTACTAAATTAAGCATGACGAAGTAAAGATAGTAAAAAATTATAAACCCTAAAATTCAAAATCAAAATCTCAAATGAGGAAAGTAACATATAGAAATGAGTTTGTAAAACTTGTACATACCAAGTTATTGCATCTCAATTACACTTACATTTGTACTTAGGAAAACATTTTGCCACATGATTATGAAAAGTAATGGGGTAGAAATGCAACTTGAAGAGGGACCTATCCTTAGGATATTCTAAACTTTTCAATGTTCCATCTCAAGTAGTTATTTTTCACATTGCTTTTTGTAAACTCAATTTTTTTAGATTTAAAATTGTTAAATATTGAATTTTGATAATTTAAATTAAAAAAATATTATTTTACTCAAGGATTAAGTGAACATTAAAAAAGAATAAAAAAAAAGTTAATCTTACGTAAGGCTGATTCTTCCCAAGTACTGGAAGCTTTTATCACCTATACTCACCACGTTTATATCTTTTTTTTTCTCTTATCTTCGTTCTCTTTTTTGCTTCGAAACTATGTACAGTTCACGATCTGCCACGTACGATTGAATTCCATTTGATGTAACGGTGAAAATTGGCCCAAAGCCCATCGCTTTCAGCCATCAGCATGTGCTCTCGGGAATGAGATGGACAGGATGTGACGCTGACAAGGAAAATTTCCACACCGCCCCTCGACTCTCAGCCTCAATCTCTATAGTAACCAAAGCCATTTTTGAAGCACGTTTTCAATACCCTATCAGCCACACTTGATTAAGGACTTATTAGTTATATAATTATGCTAGTTATTCTCAAAATAGAACCCTTAGCGAACTTTTGCAGTTACTTAATATCCATTCAAGGGTTCGGTTAAACGGTTTTTACAGCATCAAGTAATATATTTTATAATTATTAAAAATTCAATCGAAAAGTATTTTTTTGATACGACAAAAATCCTCAAATTGGAGTTTTAAATGGACCCTTAGGCTCGACCCATTATAGGCATGGTAGAAAGATGCTTTCCGGGGATTGATTTCACTTGTTTAGCTAGGTATTATGCTTTTTGGTAAGCTAGTTAGGTCAGAGGCAAATGGCGTGGGGGCACCGTATAAATAGGTTTAAGTTAGTCTTATAACAATTAAAGGAAAGATGAGAAGGTGGGAAAGTAAGGGTTAGGCATTGATGGTTATGTTGCTCATGGTTGCAAAAAAGTTTTTTTTAAGTTTTTTGTTAAAAAAATGAAATTAAAAATAATTAAATTAAAAAACAAAATACACAGATACAATGAGTTAAAAAACAAAAAAAAAATTTAGTTTTTTGTTTCCAAAAAAATCGTGAAATAAAAAATAATTAAATAAAAAATACAAAGATAAAATGTGTTAAAAATAGATAAAAGAAAGAAATTATGGTGCGGTCAAGTTGGGCAGAAATTACTTGCTTAAGGCCAAAACATGCCACGTTAATTTTTAAATAACCAAATAATCACGTGGTATTTTTTAATTTTTAAAATCCTTCAAAATTTCAATCTAACATTAATGTGCCATATCAACAAAATCGAAATACACGTCAGCAATGAGAAAGTTGGATGGGTTACCGATTGGATTAAAATTTAAAATTCATAAATATAAAATATTTTGAGTTGAAATTCATGAATTTAATATAAGGATTAAAATCGAGTACATAGACTAATTATACAACTTAATCTTTTATATTTAATACTAAAAAAAATTATTGAAAACCGAAAATAAGTATACACAAGTTGTATATTCAATTATTCATCTTATATACAGAATACCAAACAATATATTTAAGGATAGATTTAAATAGACAACAAAATTGGTTTTCAAAAAAATTAATTTCGATGAGATTAATTATTGTAATAATAAAATTAAAATTAATAGTGAAGATATGTATTTGAATACAAATGTAATAATAATAGTAAAATGAATTATAATAAAAAAATGATCATTAAAAATATTATATTAAAATTTATATAATAAAAATATTAAAATATTAAATATTTATAAAATTTAAAAATATTATATTATTTTTCTGTTAAATAATAGTTCTGTTAGTAAATATTAAGAATTAATAATTTTATCTTTTTAAAAATCATTTTAAAAACTTTTAAATAATTAATTAAAAGTAAAACAAAATTGAAAATGAATAAAGTTGAAAAAAATAAAACAAATAAGGGTTAAAAATGGAATAAATCTCTCTACTGAAGTTAAAAAATTTTCATTGGACCAATGAGGTTTCACGATGAGATATCGTGCTATGTCATTCAAATACGAAAATTGCGTGATTTACATCTTTAGTCACGCCTATCACTCCGTTTAAATTCAAATCAAGTCTAAGTTAAGTACTCCCTTGTCAATTTTTTAAAATTTTTTAGATATTTCAAAATTATTTTTTAATATTGAAAACTCTTTTTTTATATTTTAAAATTATTTTTATAATTTTTTTAACATTAAAAATCATATAATTTTAATTTTATAAAAAAACTTAAATTTTAATATTAAATATATTAAAATCATAATTTTTTTCTTAAACTCCGTAAAAATAAATGATATCTAAATAATTAGAGGGGAAGGGAGTATAACTTTGAATTACTTTGACTCAATTGATTTTTGATAGCTTGAGTTTTAAGATTTGATTTATTGAATATTGAACCTATTTCCTAACTTAAGTTATTAAGCATTTTATTACTTAGCTTAAGTAGCCAGTGAGTTTAATTTGCAATCAATTTTTTTTATAATTATTATATTTATATTATGTAATATTTTAAATTTATTTTTTCTATTCATTTTTTTAATCTTAAAATTATATCTTTTTTAACATATAACTCTCTCTTTTTATTTTCAAAATTATTTTCATGACTTTTTAATTTTTGGTATTAAAAATAATGAACATCAATTTTATAAAAATAAAATTTAAATATAAAATACTCTAAAATCAAAATTTTCTTAAACTTTTTGAAAATTAAATAAAGATAAACAATAAATATAATGAAACAAAAAGTAATAAATATAATGATAATCATACTAATTATATTTATTATATATGTTTATATTTATATTTATTATATTCATCAATAACGATAGTAAATAAAATAAAATTTTAATTTTATATATATATATATATATATATATATATATACATTTCATTTTCCCATGGTGACTTTGAATTTCACCGCACTCTAATGAGCTGCAATTATGACGGGGGATTGTGGAATTCGCATTGCATAGTAAAAAATTTTGCCTTTGGATTTAATTGTGCCACGCAAGGTATGCTGGTTGGCCGTTTGCCATTTTTGAACCACTGGTCATTTTTTTTTAATTTTTTATTGTAAATATAAAAATATTTTAGAATTTATTTTTTATTTAAAAAATTTGAAATGATTTTTTAATTTAATATAATAAAATATTATTTAATATATTATTTTTTATTAATAAAATTATTATTTAACTTAAAAATTATTTAATTAGTTTTTAATTATTTATTAATTTTATAAATATTAAATAATTTAAAATTTTATTATATAATTTTTAATCTAATAAATTTAATAATAATTTTTTATTACAATTCATTTTACCAACATAATTATTCTTATATTTCAATAAATATTTACTATTAATTTTATTCTTATCACTATATTAATTAATTTTATTTTTATTTTTATTTTTAATTTCATCGAAATAATTCTCACCATATATCTAAATAGATTTAATCTTAATTTATATATCCAAAATGTTTTTCATAAAATCAGATAATATAAGCTTTGATTGTGGTGCAACGTTTGTTTCCAAATGTACTTGAAGGCACTTGAGGACACAACAATTCCGCGCTCACTCACCAACATCCATATACCGAACATGTTTTACACGTGGATACAAAACCGCGAGTAAAGACTTGCTCACCAAACCTGCGAGTATGTCTCATGTTAGATCTTACAGACTACCCGTCTCTATTTATTTGCTGAAACTGAAACTATGGTTTTGGAAGATATCCACACACACTGAACTTGGTTTTTTATTTTTTATTTAGTAATTATTTATAAACCTACGAGATCAGGGGTAATACATTTTAGTTTTAGAAATTCATAATAATTTTTTTTTTCATAAAAGAGATAATACTTTAAAAATATAAAAAAATTTAAGTATTAAAATTTAAAGATGCCACCTTTCATAAAAATGGTTAAATGCTTTAAGTTAATAATTGTAATAATAATCAATGATTAAAAAATATAAAATTTTTTGCACAACTTGATCCTTCCCTAATAATAATAATAATAATAATTATTATTATTATTATTATTATTTGCATTCTGGTAATATTTATTGGTTTTTTTTCCTGATAAAGAAAAGGAGTAAGATAATTTAGAATATCAAATGCAATCAAAAATTTTTAATTTGCATATGAATTCTGAAATTATTGATTAATATTTTCTTAGGTATGAGAAAAATCATAGATAAGGAAAAAGATTAATGTTATTGTGATTTGAAATTAAAATTTATTTTTTAAAAATAATTATATAAATTAATTTAAATTCAATTAATATTTTTTTACTACTATTAATTTATCAAATTTATAGCCGTTACTAATACCAAAAATATACTAGATACATTTTAAAAAGTACCGTATATAATAGTACTGAAAAGGAAAAAAAATCCTTCCCCCATCAAACTTGGCCCTTTATTTTCTATTTTTTTCAATAAAAATAAAGAAATATTAGTACTGATTTATATTTGATTTAACTGTAATTATTATCTTATTATAACACTTCACCGTAAAAATTGTAAAAAAAAAAAAAACTTCTTAGGTAAAAAGTAGTACTAATTTCGCATATAATTAACAAAAGGAAAATTATAATTTCTCATTAAAAACATTAATTTTAGAGGTATTGGCAGGGTTTTACCCAAAGAAAAAGTAAAATGAAAAGTGAAAACCCAGAAAAAAGGAAATAAAAAACAAAGGTCATTGAAACTCAAAAGCGCAAGATGCACATTGCGCACCAACCTTCCACTTCCGCTCCAAACAAAGATTAAGGTACACTCTCTCTGCTGGCAATCTCCATCTCCATCAGCTGTGGAAGCTTCTCCTCTTCTCTCTTTCCTTTTGTCAACTCTTTAAAAGGACCCTCAATCAAACCGCTTAAAAAACTTAAAACCCTTCACTCCGCTCTCCCACCTCCACAAAACCCAACACTTCAGCCAAAAAATAACACACTTTTCCTGTTTCTTGTTCTTTTAAAGAACCCAAAAATTCGGATCCAAATTCCAACTCACCCCATTTTTCATGAAAACGGATCCTTCAAAATGGATCCTCCATTGATCAATGAGTCATCTTTTTCAGCAGCTAATCCTTCAGCTTACGGCCTTGCTGAGATTTGGCGTTGTCCTTTCCCAATCAATCCAGGGTCTGACACAAATGTTGTAACTGGAGGTGGATTGGGGCTCCGAATGAGTAATTTGGGAGGGTATGGGGAGACTTCGGGTCATAGAGATGGGTCCGTGGAGGAATCTACTTTGACTGAGCAGAGTGTTGGATGTGGAGGTGGCGGTGGAGGCGGGAGAAAAAGGAAGGATTTGAGCTCTGAAGATGAATCTTCCAAAATTGTTTCTACTACTACTAGCGCAACTGAATTGGTGGGCTTTTTTTTTCTCTTCTGTTTGGTTTTAATGTATGGCTTATTTAGCTCTTTTGTTTTTTAGATTTTCAGTTGCTTGGTAGAAATGAGAAGACAATGATAGAAAAATTTTGGAAGTCAATTAATTAAAAATTTTTTTTTTCTTTCTATAATTCAAGGCATTTGGATTGAATTTGATCTGGGTTTTGTTTCATTGCTAGCCTGCTTTACTCAGATTCAGTTCTTCCTTCGATTTAACCCTTGTAGCTTAAGCCAAGTTGTGGGCTTTGCTTGGTTTCAATTCAGTGAGGATGAAAATAAATATTTTAAAGATTCAAAATTTGTGTTCATTGGTTTTTTTCTTTTTATTTTGTTGTAGATTGTAACTCTCAAGAAAAATAAGTTTAAAGAGGTTATGATAAATTGTTTAAATTGAAGCTGGTTTAGATTCATATGAGTTAATGTTCGTTTATATTTTGGTATCATGATGGCTTATGTTTAGTCTTTTAACAGAATGATTCAAATGGAAAACGGATGAAAGCTTCCGTGGCGAAGAATGAAAATGCGGGTTCTAAAGCTGGGGTTGAAGCGACTTCTGCAGCTGGTAGCAAGCCAGAACAGAATAGTAAACCTGCTGAACCGCCTAAGCAAGACTATATTCATGTCAGAGCCAGAAGGGGTCAAGCTACTGATAGTCATAGTCTGGCTGAGAGAGTAATTCACTTTAATCCTATTGAATTTGCAATTTTCAACTTCAAAACTGAGAAATATAACTTTCGTATAGTTAAAAAAACTGTGGATCCAGACTCATGGGTCTTGCTAGTTCATGTCATAATGTGAGTGGTAAAGCAGACTGGCTTAGACCTTTTTGAAACATGTTCTTAGAATAAGTTTTTCCTCTACAGGCCCGGAGAGAGAAGATAAGTGAGAGGATGAAGATTCTTCAAGATTTGGTCCCTGGATGCAACAAGGTATCCTTTCTATATTATGGTCAGTTCTGTACCACTAAGCCTGAGGAAACTTTGTGATGGTTTCGGTGTCTCTTCCCTGTTATTATCAATATTTTTTTTATTTTTATTGTATTAAACTTAAATACGAACTTTTCTATCAGGTTATAGGAAAGGCACTTGTCCTTGATGAGATTATTAATTATATCCAGTCGCTGCAGCGGCAGATTGAGGTATGAGTCTTACACATCTTGCTGTTTTAGTGTGCCAATTTCTGAGATGTTAGGCTATCCTTTCAAGCTTTAACCTGCAATATGAATGTAATTTTGCAGTTCCTTTCATTGAAGCTAGAAGCACTTACTTCAAGGACAAACATGAATCCTAGCATTGAAGGCTTTCGTTCAAAGGATGTAAGTTTGCTTATATTGATTGCTTACCTAATATTTGTGTCATCATATAAGCTATTAGCATAAATAGCATCAAATTGAAGTCTGGTGTGAGAAAAAAACTGCTGCATCATTTTGAGTAAATAGAAGTGCTCTAGATGTAGGTCAGATGGAATATTTGTGTCATCATTTTGGGTAAACTGATGTACATCTAAATTTTGGGCACCTTTCTCTCTGTTTGGCCCACTTGTTGATTGGTGGATTAAGTAAGATGACAGTTCATCCCAAAAACTTTAGCCAATAAGAAATGGCCTAAATTAAACCAATCTTCAGACTTTTTAAGCCACCTGATAGTGGATCTAGTTTGCCCTTCTATTCTCTTGGTTTCTAAAAAATTGATGACGTGCGCTTCCTTTTGACACTATATTAACCAATCAATCATACCAGAGAGGAAACCTGTTGAGGTTGGTAAGTGAAATTATTCCCTTACAACAGTTTGGGATCCTGGAGAGCTTCCTTTTAGATCTCAGTTAATGCCTTGATTATGATTTAGCCTAAGAATCTACACAGATATATATAACCTTTATTACCTAGAAACACAATATTTAGCTTATGAAAATTCAATTTGCTTCATGGTGACATTTGGGTTCTTAAAATTTGGTCAAAATCTGAATTTGGATCTTCTACAATCTCAATTCGGCAGTATTCGCCCTCTATCCAAATTTCAATGAATTTGATCCTTACATTTTTATTAAAAGTCAATTTAAGGGCAATTGATAAGGGTGTTAACTTTGTCGTTACTTTACTTATGTGGCTTTGATGTTGATGATGTCTCATGCCAACTTGAATGTAAATATGTTACCATGTTACTCATCTGTTCTATCACCATATATTAAATGCACACTATTCATCATGTTGATTATTTCCGTAAAAATAATTTGTGTGGTGCTACAGAATTTGGCAGATGAACCCAATAGGAGACGTTAAATGTCCTCTAAGTTACTGTCTTGTGAAGAAATGCACCTTTAGGATTGTTACCAGTGTCTCGAATCTAGATGGGAGACTTATTCTAGGGTTTATGAAGAAGTTAATTTTAGCAAATATACAATCTTTGCAATAAAAGTGTAAAATTATTGGAGCTATGGTATGATATCTTAACACATCAATCTGGTCTTTAGCCTGGTTCACAGCCATTTTGATGCTGCTGCAATGATATTTGGCTTACAAGCATCAAGGCAATATACTCAAGGATCACAACCTGAGTGGCTGCAGATGCATGTTGGTGGAAATTTTGAAAGGGCGACATAATTTGAAGAACATTGTTGGCATTACAAAGCAACAAGATTAATCTGTTTGTTGTCTTTTAGATCAAAGGGGAAATTAGTCATTGGTTAACTCTGTTGCAGAAATGTTTTTCATAATTGTGGACTGTTCTTAAGTTTGTAATATCATTTATCTTGTAGAAAATGCATCTAATCTTTTATATGTTTCATCTGACTAGATACAGAAAACTCCATTGTATCAGTTGTTAAACAAAATCTCCTGAAGTGCATTCCAGTTCTTAGGGTTGTGTGCTGTCTTAAATATATCTGTGGAGATTCTATTCTGCTCCTTCTGCTAGGGGTGTTGCCAATGCCTTGCTGAAGACACTTTCCCTTTTTATCGGCTAATTTTCTTCATGAAAATTCTGATAAAGACCAGATAACTATGATGGTGAGTGAACTTTAGGGGCGTAAATGAACGTTAAACGAAAAGAACAAATAGCTTATTAATAAATTGGTTTTTGTTTGTTGATTGTTTATTAAACTTAATAAATGATTACAAATAATATTTTAAAATTCATTAATTAAATTAAATTAATAGATTATAAATGTAATAAAATTTACTTATGTTAAGATTATTTACGCTTAAAACTTATTTATATGTATGAAGCTGGACTTGAAACCTTAGCACTCCTTTTATTTATAGGGTATTGCACCTTAATATCTGTACGTTAAATAACAGTTTTCCATGGAATTATCTTTGTTGTATCATTCAAAAATCACTATAAAAGAACATAAAATTTTTTTTTTTAAAAAAAGACATGGATATATCTCATACGATGAGAGATACATAACTAGGCAATTCCAAGTTGCAGGCAGGGCAGGGTCTTCAATTGTCCTAGGATCTGAACTTGGCTCTTATGGTATTGGTAACATCGGCACTTGGGAAGGTCTTGGTTAACACTTCATTCGGAATCGAAGAAGCGAATAGATTTAGAGGACGACCACAGCACCAGGCAAGTGGCTATTGAAAGACATGAAAGCAAGCGCCTTAATTTCCTTCTCCGACGTTAAGTTGGAAGTGCACAAGTCCCCGAGGGATGACAAACATCTGTCCAACATTCAAGACTTTGGATTGATTAGCATGTCGTTGTTACTGAGGTTTAAAAGTTGCGAGTTCATAAAACTTTATGAGATAATATCTTTTTTAATAAAATGATCAAAATAGATTAAGAAATGAAAAAAGTTTGTCCTGAACCATACTTGAGCAAAAAGAAGCCATGATCTAATCATGTTGGCATTCCAATTCGCTCACATAGGAACATTTTTCAAGTAAAGGTCCAAGGTAATCACCAGGGACACGTTGAATGATTAAGTCAATCGACTCTCAGATCATGACATGGATTGACAACGATGGGCTCGATAGCACCTTTGAGAACACACTATTTAACACCCAAAATATTTCAGCATTGTCAAAGAGAATTGATTTCTTAAATAATCAAATTACAACCAGCGGACATTATTGTCAAATAATGCAGAAAAAAATTAGAAATGCCGGTATTTTTATATCTAGACAAAATCTAAGAAACACGAAACAAACTGGAGTAAAGAAATTATTTCAATGGGAATCTGCAACAAGTTTGCATATGTCAAGCCCAGTCAAATGCAATATAAATTTATCCAGAATCCATACCAATCAAATTTTCCAGTGGAAGGCTTTTGTGAAGATGAATGTTGGTGGTGCCCTGTGCAATTCGGGAGAACTAGCCATTGAGGTATTTGAGGAGATAGTAATGAAGAGTGGATTTTTGGCTTTAAAAAGAAAACTTGGCAAAGCTCTATCTTACAGACTGAAGTTTGTCCGTATATGTGGGTCTGTTGTTGGCTTGGAATCGTGGTTTTAGGTGTTTTGTTCTTGACTATGATGTTTTACTGCTGTACAAAAGGTGTTTTGCAATAAATGCAAACTTTGTTCAGCAAAGATTGATAGTGTTTTATAGCGCCAAAGGAAACAAATCTGCAGACCTTTTCGGACATCGGGCATTCATGACCCTTTTTCAAGTCTCTAAACTTCTTTTTTACCAAATGGTTTAGTTAATTTTATTCGAAAAATCTAAATGGCTTAGCAGGGGTTCGATTTGTATTAGTTAAGCCATTTTAATAAATCTTTTAGCATATAGTCTCTTGAGAGTTGGTTCCCTTTAGGAAGTAAGTCTTGCTTGGTATGCAAGAGAGTAGTTCTCAAGATTATCTCGGTACTCTTTGAGTCACAGTTGTTCTTGAGTTGTAGTAGTTATAAAGTAGAGTTAGTAAGTTAGGTACATGGAGGAGGAAACTGGAGGACTTATGGAAGCAGCTGCAATTAACTGAGGAGGAAAGAGAAGGGATCGAAGCAAACACAGTGGAGAAAGGGAATGAGGGAGAGGGGACAAAGGCATGGTTGATAGGAAAACTGCTTACACACGCGTGTTCAACAGGGAAGCTATGAAAAGCACTCTTAATATGACGGCATGATCAACCTTAAAATTAGCCAAACAGGTAGAAATCATAGACCTGGATGATCACCTGTTGCTCTTCAAGTTTTCATCAGAGGCAGACATGAAAAGGTTGATCGATGGATCACCCTAGAATTTTGATAAGCAGTTGATTGTTTTTAATGCATATGACGGGACGAATATGCATCTACAAAAGCCCTTTTTTGGATGAGGTTGTATGGCTTGCCACTAGTAATGATGAATCAAGAGAATGCGACCAGAATAGGGAGAAAAATAGGTCAGTTACACTCGGTGGATGCAACACTCGAACACGGGGATAGGTTCTGATAATAGGAGTTGACGTAGATATATATAAACTCTTGCGGAGGGCAGTTCTTTTCTCAAACGGAATCGAAGGGGAGCAAATATGGGGTAGATTGTATTATGAACGACTACCAAGCTTTTGTTATGTCGGTGGGTAGGGATGACAACAGATCGGAGTTGATTTTTGTTCGTTTCAAAATCGATCTAATTTTATAGTTATAAAATTTAACTTCGATCAATCTGATATTGTATAAATTATATTTAATTTGATTCGAAATTAATAAAATATTATTTTTTAAATATAAAATATTATTTTTAATAATAAATATAATATATAAAAATAAAAAGTTAATAATTAATTAAAAATATTCTTTTATATATCAAATCAACTGAGTTTGCCTAAAATTTAATTCGCGACGCGATCCTATCTATTCTTACAATTATTTGATCTAATTCAAAATTTGATTTTTTAAAACAAAAAATCAATCGTATGAAATCGAATCGAGTCGAAATCCATCGAAAGCGGATTGAGCTACTAACCTCTACAAGAGGGATGGACATATAGAGGATGAATGTACAGCAAGGAAATGAGAAGAGGATCCCGCCCAAAACACCAAAGACAGTACGCGGCCTTGGCCTGTGGCTTCAGAACGAAACCAACTATGTGGGATGAGAGAAAAGGATCATCACATCCATGGGAACAAGAAAGAGGTCAGGTCCACAACATTAAAATGCCCTAGGCGACATACCGGTGGGATGTCATGCATCCTAAGTTGGATGTAATGATTGGGTAGAGGGAATTTGCACGAGGATTGATAAGCAAGATTTGATCGGTCAAGATGGAGATTTTTAGGGGATGGGGAGATGATTACACAAGATTTCAATTCCCATAATTTGCATACAAAACGTAAAGGGGTAAATATGGAGAAGGTTTACCAAGATTGTACTACAGTGGATGAAGGATTTGGAATAGGGCCCACTAATCAATGGGCTGCTAGTGACGAATACAATTTAGGCAACAAAGGCCCAAACTTAGGCACACAATCTAGCCAGATGGTTTTATGCAAGAATATTTATGGAGTATTTGTGGTGACTTACTGGAACAACTTTAACAGGAGAATGACTCGCAATATAGAGGTACACAGAATGAACATGCACAAAGTTTGCAACAGAAATAATGTAAGTTTGAACGAAAATAATGAAAAAGAGGGCTGGAATGGGGACAAAGAGTCGAGCCAAAAAGCATAATCCAAACCGAGATGGAAAAGGCTAGTGAGGATGATAAGAGAGACTCATGTAAGTGGAAATGGTGACATGAGAAAAAGGAAGCATGAAGGAAATAACTTGGTTACAAATGACATGGAGGTTGACGAAACAAGGAAAAAAAGTAAGAGAGACGAAGGAAAAAACCTAGATGACAGCCACAAAAAATCGACGGCCACTGGTTTCCAATCCCGTCGAGAGCAATAAGGTGTATCGTGTGTAATTGCCATGGGCTTGAGAACCCATGAGCAGTTCATGATCTTCGGAACATTTTGAAAAGAAAAGATCCCAAAAGATCCCGATGTGGTGTTCCTATCAAAAACCATCTCTAATAAGGTGAAGATAGATAGGATGCGATGATAATGTCAATATGCTGGAATGTTTGTAGTTGATGCGGTGGGGAAGAATAGAGGATTAGCTATGTTATGGCGAGAAAAAATAAGTTTAACATTAAGAAGTTACTCCAAATATCATATAGACATGGACTTAGTGGAAGCAGATGGTAAGAAATGGAAGATTACAAGGTTTTATGGTGAGCCAACTACTTTGGAGAGATACAGAGCATGGTGTCGTAACGACTTTTGAGGGTTGCTAGATAAATTAAAAACAAATAAAAAAAGTCGTAATCAATCTTTTTTTATTAGGTGTATTAGTTATATATTAAAATTTATTTTTTTAATAAAAATTTTAAATATAATTAAAACTTTATCAAAAAAATAATTTTTGAGTTTACGAAATAATTTAGATTCAAGAGTTAGTTATGTGTGGAGAATAATTAACACCCTTACGGTATCCGTTAAAAAATAATACCAATAATTATTGTTATTTTTTAATCTGGGCAAAAAAGGTTTTAATTTTGATATTTAAAATTTAATT